GATCTGTTTCTGCCCCAGGTGTGTGTCTAGGTCTGCCCCACAGGTGTGGGTCTGTGTCTGCCCTCCAGGTGTAGGTCTGATATCAGGACTGCAGATCTGCCCTGCAGGTTCTTCAAAAGGCCATCATTGGGACATGCGACCCTGGGACCCTCTCCTTTCCCCTCCACCCTGTGGCCTTGCACATGCTTGGCTGCAGGTTCATTCCAGTCTGTATGAGGGAGCAGATGACCTGAAGAGCCTTGGGAATGGTCTAGCCCTGTCCACACACTTCTGCTGGCCTTGGCCAGATAAGGTAAAAAGTGGCAGGAAAAATTCTCCCTTTCCAGCAATTCAACATGGAAATTTTGTTAGTCGAACTTAATAAAATAAACAATTGGGGCTTGTGGTTTAGCACATTCTGGTTTCTTGAAGTTTATTTGTCTAATAATTTGTATTGTGTTTTATGAAAGTGATGATCCTTAGCAGGGAAATTAGTAGTGGCAGAGACATCAAAGGGACCTCCAGCTGGAGGTCCCATCTAGGAGAGTCGTCACCAGGCTCCCGGACCTCCCCAGGTCAGGGGGGCAGCCCTGACCCTTTATCTGAAGGGCCACACTAAAATCCTCTGGCGATCAAGACGAGGACGTTGGAGCAAGCAGAGAGCTTCATTCAGACTCCCTCCACTCAGAGCCGCTCTTCGGATCAGTGTGGGAAGGGAAGGTTCCCAGGCAGGCCCTGGTGTTCATGGTCACGCCCTGGGCTTGACCTTCTTGGTGATGATGTCAGAGTTCTCCTTCAGGCACCCATCACTACTCTATTCCAAAGCACCTCTGCCCCTGAAGAGCCATGGGCACTTGGATGAGAAAATCTGCTCTTCCGAAAAGCCACTGCTAGCATTTACGTGTCTCTTGCCAGCTAAAATCTGACGACTGGAATTCCCTGGTTCCTATGACGGAGCTTAAGCCAGGAAGCACTGCTTCCAGCCACAACTACTTCCTGGTCAACTCCCAGCAGAGGTGGACTCACGTGAGACTCAACATCTTCCCAGGTAAGTGCTACGCGGCCCCTGCAGCCCTGCCCTTCTTTATTCTGCACCGTCATGTTTGTAAAATGACACGGATCGGGAACGGAGCTGCCCAGCGTTTAGGTCGTCATTTGCCCTCTTGGTGCCCCAGGAAATTCTTACCTTACTCTAGGGATCAATAGGTAGCTAATGAGAAATCACCAAGTTGACCAGGGTGTGGCAGAACCCGTGGATCAGGTTACATGTCTCCTAGCAACATCCATGTCCCAGGTACATTTTCCTATTTATAAAGAAATCCTGTGCCCTTTATCTGACATCCTCCTCACCAGCCCTAAGCAACTAAAGTTACTGTCTATCTTGATAGGTTTGACTATTTTGAAACTTTCATGTAAAACAACCACATTTTTTGACATTTCGTCTCTTTTTTCACTTCATATAATGTTCCAAGATTCTGTAGCATATACGGGAACTCCATGCCTCTTCTTGACCAAAAAATCTCCACCAGTACATGCACAGCATTCTACTTACCCGTTCACCAGCTGATGGACATTTGTTTCCACCTGTTGGCTCCTAGGATCGATGTTGCTGTAAACACTCACTAACTTTTGTGTGGACATAGGTTTTCATTTGTGTTGAGTATATACCCAAGATTGGCATTTCTGGGTCATATGGTCGCTGTGTTTAACTGTGTTTGAGAAACTGCTGGACTTTCCCAAAATGGCTGCAACATTCACATTCCTACTGGGAATTTTGATTTCTTCACTTCCTTCCCAGCACTTGTTATCTTTCTGATTGTAGCCATCTTAGTGCATGCAAAATAGCACCTCATTGTGGTTTTGGTTGATTGGCATTTCCTTGATGCCTAATGATGGTGAGAGCATATTTTCATGTGCTTATTTGCCATCTGTATATTTTCTTAGAAAAAATTTCCTTCCAGAATTATTGCTTATTTAAAAATTGGGTTTTTATCTTTAATTATCGAGTCATATATAAGTTCTTTATATATTATAGATACAAGTCCCTTATCAGATACAAGATGTGCAAACAATTTCTCCCACTCTGTGAGGTGCCTTTTCACTTTCTTTGCAGGGTCATTTGAAGCACAAGAGCTTTTGATGTTGATGAAATTCAGCATATCTGTTCTATTCTTGTGTGTGTGTGTGTGTGTGTGTGTGTGTATGTGTGTGTGTGGTGCTGGGGATTGAACGGGGCCTTGTGCAGGCAAGACAAGCACTCTACCAACCGAGCTGTATCCCCAGCCCATTCTATTCTTTTGTTGCTTATACTTTCAGAGTTATATCTAGAAAATCAGCACCAAATCAGGGATATGAATGAATATTCCTGTGTTTTTGTGTGTTTTATAGATTACATGTTTGCTCAAAGAAATAGATCATCTTAATCTTTGAGTTACATCTTTGGTTAATTTTGAGTTAAATTTTGTAGGTGGTGTGAGGAAATGATTCAGCTGCATTCTCTTGCATCATATGAGTTGTCTAAAGAGCATTTGTAGAAAACACTCTTCTTTCCCGATGGAATGACTTGGGAACTCTTGTTGAAAATTAGTTGACCATAAACACATGAGTTTATTTCTGGACTCTCAATTTTGTCTTTGATCTATTTTTCTGTTCTTACACCATTAATGAACTATCTTGATTAGTAAAGTAAGTTTTAAAATTACAAATTGAGTCCTTTGGACTTTTTTCAAGAATTATTTTGGTGGTTTGGAGTCTTTTGCAATTCCATATTTTAGAATCAACTTGTAAATTTCTACAGAGAAACCAGCTGGAATTTAAAAAATTATTTGTTTACTCTAATTTATTATATATGACACCAGTTGGGATTTTGACAGAGGTTGCATTAAATCTGTAGCTCAATTTGGGAATTATTGGCACCTTAATAATATAAAGTTTCCCACTCCATGAATATGGGATAGTCTCCCATTTGTTTAGGTGTCCTCTAATTTCTTTAAAAAATGATTTGTAGTTTTCAGATTATAATTTCTGCACTACTTTTGCTAATTTTTATCTTGTACCTGCAACACTACTGAACTCCTTTGTGAGTAGTAATGGGTTTTGAGTGGAATATTTAGGATGTTCTGTATACAAGATCACACTGAGAATAGAAATAGTTTACTTCTTCCTTTCTAACTGGGATTCACCCTCTGTATCTCCCTTTCCAATCAGAATCTCTCAGTCTGTTTCCCACCCCCTTCTAATTGCCCTGGCTAAAATCTCTAATGCAGAATTGAACAGAAGTGGCAAGGGATGAAGTCTGCATATGATTCTCAGCAAAGATTCAATTTTGCAAATATGATCTTTTGTAGTCTCAACCAAATCGCTGAGCAGTGCAGTGCTGTAAGAATAAACACATGAGAGTCTTTCATGAGTTGAGGGGTGGAGGCGATGCTCATTGCTGACACCAGCGCCCAGGTGTGTGGGGTCTGTAATTTACCTATGATGCACTTCCAAGTGACTTTCCACCTCCATGGAGTTGACTTGCGACAGGTAGACACAGTGCAGAAGTGGACAGCTTGGCAAGTGGCCTGGCCCCAGGGATGCTACCTTCTAAATCTGGAGACAGATAACAGAGGGGACTTAAAAAGTGGGAAAATAACAAAGGTAACTTCAGCTGGGCATGGTGGCACACGGCTATAATCCCAGCAGCTCGAGAGGCTGTGGCAGCAGGATCTCAAGTTCAAAGCCAGCCTCAGCAACTTAGCGAGGTCCTAAGCAACTTAGTGGGATCCTGTGTCAAAATAAAAAAATAAAAAGGGCTGGGGATGTGGCTCAACGGTAAAGCATCCCTGGGTTCCATCCCCAATACCAAAAAACCAAAAAGTAAGGTAACTTCCTACTGCAATCAGAGCTATAGAGTAGCTGAGCACGCAGACGGAATAAAACTCATCTGGGAAATCAGGCAGTGGCAGGTGGACCTCCAAAGAGAGAAAGAACCTTCCTGGGGCCAGACGTGTAAATTGAGACTCAAGAATGACCATTTCCTGGAGAGATGGGGAGGTGTCATAATAAGGTACTGTCACGTGCCAGGGCCCTGGGGTGATGGGACTGAAGTGGACAGGTGTGGCAGAGCCTAGCAGGAGGTGAGCCTGGAGAAGACGCAAGGACCCTGCTGGTCATGCCACCCGCAGTTACCTCTCTGACCTTTCCTTTTCAGATGGGGGGATTGCGCGCCTTAGAGTATATGGTACTGGACAGAAGGACTGGACTGCAACCGATCCCAAAGATCCGGTAGACCTGGTGGCCATTGCCTTTGGGGGTGTCTGTGTAGGATTCAGCAATGCACATTTTGGGCACCCAAACAATATGATAGGTGAGAGAACATTCTAGGAGCCGGCTTTATGGAGAAGTGTGGCCACTAGTATCAAATACCCCATAGGCCAGAGGACGGGCCCTTGAAGCATGGGGTGGAGGAGATTAGTGAGGGTGTGGGATTCAAAGCCTCCGTGCCATGGGGCAAGTCATCATTAGTCGTGGTCCCTCCTTGTTTGGGCCTACAGAGTTGCCATAAAAGGAAAACAGTTTACCAACTCTGTGAATGGACTGAAACGTCACTGCAATGAAAGTCATCTGGGTGGCCACGCTCAGGGACGTGGGATCTGAGATCTAATGGTGTGGGCATTCGTTCTCCCATTTGAGATCAAACCATGGTGGCACCATTAACGGAATTTTTCTGGTAGGAGTTGGTGGGCCCAAGTCCATGGCAGATGGCTGGGAGACTGCGAGACGGCTGGACAGGCCTCCGGTGTTAGAAGTAAGAAGTTCTTTTCAAAAAAGCTTTTCATTTTACATCAAAGAAAAACTTTTTTTTTTTTTTTTTAAGAATCCTCTTGAGCTTTTTTAAATGCTCGTCACTACTCTCCGTCTGTTCTGAGTTTCCAGTTCCACCTGGCTCTGTACAGCTCCACACTGTCCTCCACCAGGACAGACATGCTGGACATTGCCACGGCTCTGGTCCATCTTGCTATATTCCTCTGTTTCTTCAGTAAAGGAATCAAAGGATCTATGATCTAATGACCCAGAAGGCATGGGTGCATTTGTTCCTAGAACTGGAGGGAAAAACAAGAGTTTAGTATTTGTAGTCTCTGTGCTTCCTAGGATCAGACACCTATGCGAGCCTGTGGTGATAAGGAACTAGATCAGATTAGCTGCTCCATCTGGCCAGTAACTTAGCTGACGCAAAGAAACCAAATGCGGGCAAAGCCAAGCCAAGTGTTCAGCTTTGAATCCCACTGAAAACTCAGCCATGCCCCCGCCCCTGGATGGCCCTCCCATCACACCAGAACTTCCCGAGGCTTTCGGGGTATGAAGGGTTAGAGCCAATCAGGCATCCGAAGAGACAGTGGCAACCAGGAGAATATCCTCTTTGCAAGGGCAAAACAAATTATTGGCCCTGAGGGTTGGATTAATTAAGATACCTCTGTGTATGATGTTCTGTCTGAACCTACAGTCAGCACAGAAAACCATCAGGAATTGACAGAAATGAACTCTCAAGTCAGTAAGAGGTATTTAAGGAGTGACGGCAATTTATACACAACGTGGTTTGCACATTAGGTCATAGGAAACACCCTTTTTTTTTTTTAGTGAGAAATAAAAGAAAGCACAAATATAAGATGTTAACATTTTCCACCTGCTGATTTTCAGGTCGGTTTAATGATGCCGACTGAGCTGAGCTTTCTCTCCTTGGATTCCAGAATGACAAGAATGGCCTTCTCCAGGTTCAGGGTTGTGAGTGGGCAGTTTTCCGGCTGGCACATCCTGGAGTAATAACTCAAATTGAAATCGACACCAAGTATTTTAAAGGTAAATGTCACATAAGGAAGGGCCTTGTAGTCGGTGGGCTTACTCTCCAGGTAACGTGTCCCCTGGGGGGCAGGGGAGCTGCTCTCCGCATGGCCTCCCCTCCCAGTGCTGTGTGGTCCTGAGCACTGCTGAGAGCGTCACGTTGGCTCCGCAGCCGCACCTCCCTCCACAGCTCAGAGTTGGCCTGGACGACTCTGAGGTCGCCCACGATACCCCATGCTGTGGGGCTCTGAGCTGCATGTGCAGTGAGCCCGGGGGAGCAGCAGGGAGGACAGGCCTCTGGCTGAGGGGCAGTGGTCCCGGCAGATTCTGGGGGGTGACCATGTCTCTCCAGGTGTGACATCTTACTGTTATTTTTGTGGTGCTGGGGATCGAGCCCAGGGCCCTGCACCTGCTGAGCGTGTGCTCTACCACCAAGCGCACCTGGCTGCAGGCAGATGTGGAGGAGTGACCCACACAGATTTAAAACTGCACATTTCTGGTACTAGGAGAAATTGGTAACAAGAGAAATCTTACATTTACTTTCTTATGAGATGTACACATGGGTCATTGTATCAAGAAAGTTCCAAAGAGGTTACTGAGCTTCTACAATTGCTAGGTGACGTCGTGTTAGTATGGACGCCGGGGCGTCTTGGGATTGCTTAGTTCTTTATGACAAATGGTGGCAGCCTGTCTTCACATTTTGTAGGGCTGATATTTAAATGTTTTGAATCATGATGACTTCTGCTGATTTTAGCTTTTCCAGGGAAGCACAATGTACACTGAGGACAGGTCTGTCACCAGCAGCGGAGGGTGTGTATTAATTGAGAAGTCTTGGTGTCTGCTGCTTTTGGAAAACCACATTTCAGACCCCATTTCCTGGTTTTTGTTTCCACTTTCCAACGTGGCTGGCAGCAGCCTGTGCTGTGGGCAGGGAGGGGCCAGCTCTGCGGTTTTCTTGTGGTTTGTGTTTGTGCTTTGAGTGTCTCTTTACTCCAGTTTTCTACATGAAGGGTTTGGGTCACTTGCTTCCTTTCATAAAGAAAACTCAGGCAATAAACAGCGAATCCACTCAACCAGTTGCCCCCCAAATGCAACAGGTCGTGAATATACTGCTGTCATTCCCTTGGGACAGCCCTGGGACACCGTGAGGACAGCTGTGGATGAGGGAGCATGCTAGCATTCACTTACATTATACAAGCAATACAGCAAATGACAACCACATCAAGTACACCATGCTGAATACGCGCACTCACACAGGTGTGAATATCAGGGAGCAGAAATAGCAGCTGCAGCCCGTGGGTTTGCACCGTACCCCAGGAGCATGCTCACCTGCCCAGGACCTGTCTCAGGAGATGAGCCACAAAGCGGGCATGTGGACAGTGAGTGTCCTCTTTGCCAAGGTTCTTGGCAAAGCTCCTCCTTGATTGACCTTCAAGTCTCGGAGAACCTCTATTGAGCCGCTTCTCACAAAGAGGGGGTGGGGACCTTTCCCTAAGATCCTGTGACCCTGCTGGGCACACAGTCCTATGAAACTCCAGAGACATAAGAGAGACTCGGGGACCAGGTACCATCACCTGGAGGCCACTGAGAAATCCTGTGTCTCATTGGTGCTCAGCACCAGCTGATGGAGCTTAGGGTTTCTTCTTTTGCTTGTCATGTTTCAAAAGGAAACTCTTTCCCAGCATCGCGGTGATTCGGATGTGCCTCATGCAGTCTGAACTCCACCTCCGGAGCACATCCAGCTTTGGCAGTAGGAACCCTGCGGGTGCACTCAGGTGTGCCAGCGCTGATGTGGCAGGCTGCTTGGGGTTCCTGCAGAGCTCAGGCGTCAGTCTCGAGAGGCAGCAACGCCACATGCACTGGCTTGTTCCTTTCCTTCATACGTCACACCTCTGCGTTTGCTTAGAAGGAGCGGTGGCTTGTTCTTTGCCTGGTTTTGATCTGGTTACACGAGCCTGTGCCCTACAAGCTGAGCTGTGCTGAGGGAATGTGCAGGGCAGGGTGCCTCTGTTTGCTCCCATAGGCAGTTCTCCCGACAGCTGCAAAGTGGACGGGTGCATCCTGACCACCCAGGAAGAAGAAGACATGGTCAAGAAAAAGTGGATTCTTCCAGCCCATAAATGGAAGCCCCTTCTCCCCATCACCAAGGTATGTGGGGGACAGCGTGGGGATCTGGTCTTCAATCAGAGCTATTTCCCCTAGACTTTTGTGTGCAGATTAGAATACAATTTCAGACCTCTTTTCAGTTCAGGAGTGAAATGAACTGACATGAATGGACTTTAAAAAACTGAATGGTATACTTACCTCAGAGAAAGGCAGAGGCTTGGGAGGCTGAGGTAGGAGGACTGCAACTTCAAGGCCAGCTTCAGAAACTTAGGGAGGCCCTAAGCAACTTAGTGAGACTTAGTGAGAGTCCATCTTAGACAACAAACAAACATGCTGGGGATGTGGCTCAGTGGCTCATTGGCCAATGGCTGTGGGTTCCATCCCCAGTACAAAAAAAGGAAGGAAGGACAGACTCTCTTTCCCACTTTTGCGTTTCTAACCATCAATTTTGTTAAAACAAAAGTCTGTTGTGTTAAGAAGACATAAATGGAAACACGTTTCTGTGATATTTAACTTTTTAGAAGGGGTGGGGGTGGTGCACTGAAAGCTACCTGTGGGATAAATGCCCTGAGATGGGCACTGTGGAGGCCAGGGATGCTCCCTCGTGACCACGGAGACAGCAGGGACCTTGTCTTTCACCTTCTCAACAGCTTGTCCCCATCTCTTTAAAGGGACACGTGTCGGGGACCTGCCCTCAGGTCAGGGCTCCTTGGCCCTCCCCCTGCTGGCAGGGCCCCTGGACGCTGAATGGTCTCGCTGAATAACTTAAGCTTAAGCCCCACAAGTCCAGACTGACAGGCTGAGCTGGGTCCTTGGGCCACACAGTCCTGCTCCAACAAGGACCCCCTTCTGACTCTCTTCCAGTTGTCCCCCAACCAAAACCACCTGTTCGACAGCCTGACCCTGGAGCTCCAAGACGTCATCACTCACGCGAGGTTCACCATCTTCCCGGATGGAGGCGTGAGCCGCCTTCGACTCAAGGGCTTCCCCAGCTCCATCTGCCTGCTGCGGCCCCGGAGGGATCCCAGGATGAGGTTCTCAGTTAAAACGGGTTTTAAGGCAAACCTTTAACCATGTGCAAAACACTCATTTCCACACAGCAGTAACTGCCCACCTGAGGTCTTTCTGAGGTTGTCGACACCTGGTGGCTGAATAAAGAGGTCACCGCACCAAGTAGCCTCTGTTGCCATGAACCGTTTCGAAGCTTAATTATTGATGTGGCTGTGAATATAGGTGGCCTCTTGAGGAATTGCTTTTTTTTTTTAAACCCCACAAGATATTGACATTTATAACATGACTGTGTACCTTCTGGGTGTATATCCAGCAGTGGATATGTAGCCTACTGTCTTAGAGAATTTAAACCCACCATGACCACTGGGAACAAGTATTTCTAGAATTACTCATGGTTGCAGCTCAAAGGACTGACCACTCTTCACCAGAACAGGGAGGGCCTTCCACTCCCACCCCCACCAGAGGGCAGGCATTCTGAACGTCACATTTCTGGGTACCAGGCACCAGCCGCGACGTCACCCAGTTCCTCACGTGCTGTGCAGGTTCCAGACCACTTGCCTACTCTGCGCCAGGGGCCTAGGAGCTTTTTAGGCTGTAAATCTCTTAAAGAAACTGAGGCTCAGAAGGGGGAGGCGTTCTAGCAACGTCCTCTTCTGATTGTCCCGATGGTCCGGATGCTACCCGCCTTGGCCCTCGAGGGCCGCCAGCACAGTGAGCGGGTCGCGGTGGGCGCGCCTGCAGGTCCAAACCCTCTCATTCCCGCCGCTTCTGCAGGCCACCCTCCTCCTCCTCTTTCCAGAGCTGCCCGCCACCGTCACCTGTCCTGTCCCTGCAGGCCGCGGGTCACAATCGCCGGCGCGTCAGCACACGCAGCCCTCCTGCCCTCTGTGGTGACCCTCGGGTCAGCTCCGCGTGGCCCTGCTGGCGCGGTCCGGCTCTCGCGCGGAGGCGAGCGCGCAGCGCCATGGGCACGCGCGGGCCCTACACGCTGGTGGACACCACGCCGGCCAAGACCATCCTGGTGTACCGCAACGGGGACCAGTTCTACGTGGGCCGCAAGTTCGTGTTCTCGCCGCGCCACGTGGCCAACTTCGAGGTGCTGCTGGAGCAGCTGACGGCGCAGGTGGACGTGCCGTTCGGAGTGCGGCGCCTCTACACGCCCACGCGCGGCCACTCGGTGCACGAGCTGGACGCGCTGCAGACGGGCGGCAAGTACGTGGCCGCGGGCCGCGAGCGCTTCAAGAAGCTCGAGTAAGTGTGCGCCCCGCGGCGCCGCCACCTGCGGCCACCCCGCTGCGCGCTGCCCCGAGTCCCTGCGCCCTGAGCCTCTTCCCGGGAGGACGGGCCTCTGCGCTCCTCAGGGTGCCTGGGTTTAGAGGATGCTGGGCCCAGGGGAGGGACCCTGGGGCGGGGCTCAGAGTCCACTGGCGGTCCTGCCGAGAGCTGGCCTCCTGCCGACACCTCTGCCCGTGGGGTTTGGCCGGCCCGGCCCTGAAGCCTCCTCTGCCTAGTTGTTTGGGCTGGTTTCCCTCGTGGTCCTTATTTCCTTCCACGTTTGCTCATCCTGTCCGACTGCAGACCACGTCTTTTCTACGGTTTTATGTGTGGAAATTCTTCCAGAGCTGAGAATCCGTGTGATTCTCCAGAGAGAATTTCCATTTCTCCCAGATTCCAGAAACGCTCCCAGTCTGAGGATACTCTCTTTTTGTTTTTCATTTTATTATTTTAAAAATTTGTTCTAATTAGTCATACATGACAGGAGAATGCACTTTGACACATCATACATAAACGGAGAATGATTTCTCTGTCTTCTAGGTTGTACCTGATGCAGACTCACACTGGTCCTGTAGTCATATATGAACACAGGGTAAAATGTCTGATTCACTCTACTCTCCCTCCTATCATCTGCCCCCTCCCCTCCCTTCACTTCCCTTTACCTAATCTAAGGTGACTCCATTCTGACCTAGCTACCCTCCCTCATTGTGAATTAGCATCCGCATATTAGAGAAAACATTTGGCCTTTGGTTTTTTGGGATTGGCTTACTTCACTTAGCATGATCTTCTGTAGCTCCATCCATGCCATAATTGCATTTTTCTTTAAGGCTGAGTAATATTCCATTGTGTATATTATACTACATTTTCTTTATTCATTCATCTGTTGAAGGACACCTAGTTTGGTTCCATAGTTTAGCTGTTGTGAGTTGAGTGGCTATAAACATTGTGTGGCTATGTCACTGTAGCATGCTGATTTTAAGTCCTTTGGGTATAAACCGAGGAGTGGGATAGCTGGGTCAAACGGTGGTTCCATTCCAAGATTTCTGAGGAATCTCTATACTTCTATACTGCTTTCCATAGTGGTTGCACCAATTTGTAGTCCCAAATTGTATGAGTGAATCTTTTTCCCCATCCTCACCAATATTTATTGTTGTCTGTATTCTTGATGATCGCCATTCTGACTGGAGTGAGATGAAATCTTAGAGTAGTTTTGATTTGCATTTTTCTAATTGCTAGAGATATTGAATTTTTTCATATATTTGTTGATTGATTGATTATATATCCTTTTCTGAGAGGTGTCTGTTCAGTTTCTTTGCCCATTTAATGATTGGGTCATTTGCTTTTTTTGGTGTTAAAGTTTTTTGAGTTCTTTATATATCCTGGAGATTAGTGCTCTATCTGAGGTGTGTGTGGTAAAGATTTTCTCCCACTCTGTAGGCTCTCTCTTCATATTATTGTTTCCTTTGTGAGGAAGAAGCTTTTTAGTTTGAATCCAACTCATTTATTGATTCTTGATTTTACTTCTTGTGCTTTAGGTGTCTTATTAAGGATCAAAGATACTCCTAATTAAATTAGTGGTGTGAGATTTTAATTTTTTTGAAAAAAAAGAATAAAAAAAGGAGTTGGTTTTACTGACAAGTGGTGAGTATCCTAAATTCTTAATGATTTTTGCAAAGATACAAATTTAACATCCTGTTATTTCTAAAGAAAAAAATCATCCTTCTGCAGTCCCCTGGGCCCGCACGTCTGTGTCTGAGAGTGCCTTCGCCTGGTTGTGCGTTGCTGTGGCATTGTCTTCTTCAAAGTTGAAGGGGCCACAGCTCTGAATCTGAATATTTACCTTCTAATCCTGTTTCTCCCTCTTCTCTTGCAGCTATATCCATATAGTTCCCAGAAAGCCCTCCAAGAAGAGGAAGTTGAAGGAAGTAAGTGTGCACGGCCGAGGGGAGGAGATGGGCCAGATCATTGGGTAACAATCTAAACTGATAGAGCTCCCGTCCTGACTTCCTGGGGCTAAACCGCAGGGTTTGGCAGGAAGTGCCCCTGGAGTGCGGGAAGGCCCTGGGTGAGCTTGTCAGGTTGTCAAAGCCTCAGTGCCCCAGTGACGGGAGTCATAAAAGTGCCCTGGGCCACACCAAGGGAGATGGGCATCTTTGAGGCACACTATGAAGTTACTGGTTAAAACCTCTCATTTTCCTTTTGTTTTGGGGATTTGGGAAGTGGATGTCAGGAAGAGCTATTTAAAGTCATGCAGGGTTGATGCTAATGATAATGCTGGCTTTGCCCATGATAGGCTTCTGAGAGGCGTGTGTGTGGGGGGGAGGGGTGCCTGTCATTCCATCCGTGACACTTGATTCCTAACAAAAACAGCACAGCCACTCAGTCACTAGAGACCCACCTTTTTCTGTAACAAAACCCAACAGTTTTGAGTAATGGAGCCTATTGATATTTAGGATTTATCAAGATTTTTACTTTTTTAAACAAACAGAGTCAGCTCTGTGGAGTGTCACCAGGTGGGTGCTGAGGTGCCTCCTCTTCTACAGCACCCTCTCTTTTGCTCTTCTGTGGAGGTGATGGTCTGTACCAGAGGACTGGGGCAGGACTCAGTGACACACTGTGTGGCGCTGTCAGCAGGAGGAGTTGTCAGCTGTCCTCCTCCACACCCTGAGCCTCACGACTGCCCGTCCTTGTGCACCTCCACATCCCAGGAACCTTCGGGTAGCTCCAGAGTGGCGCCCAGGCACCGCCGACAGACCCACAGCTCTCAGGGCAGTGAAAGGAAGTCAAATTCAGTGTGTCCCCAACTTCAATTGTGACCGTCCAGGAGGGCAGGTTTCCCCTGACAATCTGGCCGTCACTGTGGGTCAGGGCTGGGCTGATGGAGCAAGTGGCGCCTGTTCTTCTTGGCATCCAGCCGTTTGTTTACCCCTCTGTCGGGGCTGGGGAGGGATCAGCACATTTCTGAAGTTTAAGTCTGTGCTCATTCTTGCACATTTCAGTGGATTCAATAAAATACAACTTACCGGTAACATCTCAGGATGGGGAGGCTTGCAGACTGTCTTGTGGAACCTTATTTTCCAGCCGAGGGAGCCGTGACCTGCAGAGGTTGTGTGCCCAGTGTTGAAGGGCAGCCTGGGCACACTCAGGGGGAGCTTCCCAGGATGGGGTGGGGCAGCACCTGCCACTGCCCTCGCCCCTGAGGTTGAGGCTGTCCTTGTCAGAAGAGTCGGAAGGTTTTCTCTGGGGACTTCCACTCTGTTAACTTAAAACACACGACTGAAGAGTTACCGCGAGCTGCTCAGGAAGGCACAAGGAAGACGGTTGAGAACTCACCAACAACCTTCCTTCCAAAGCGACCCCAGGGGCTGCATTCTGTCCTGCCTTCCTAGCTGGTTTCTGTGACCTGTAGCAGGCACACACACACACACACACACAGAAATGGAATCTGCCCTAGTCAGCTTTGTGTCCCTGGGCCCGAGGGACTGAGGAGGACAAGAGGAGGAAAGGCTCATTTGGTCATGGTTCACAGGTTCAGTCCACGGCCAGCGACTCCACAGCTCTGGGCCCAGGCGAGGCAGAGAGCATCGTGCTGCAGGGCACGAGAGGAAGGCAGCTCCGGGCCTGGCATCCAGGAAGGAGGGACACAACAAAACCCCAAAGGCACGCCCAGGGGCCCACCTCCTCCAGCCACACTGGACCTGCCTACAGTTGCCACCCAGCTAACCCACATCAGTGGATTAACCCCCTGATTAAGTCACGCCTCTCACAGTCTAATCGATTCACCTCTGAACATCCTCGCATTGTGTCACACATGGGCTTTGGGGATACCTCATATCTGAACCACAACAGTATCCATCAACAAAGTCTTTTTTGGTGATACTTGAGGTTGGACCCAGGGCCTTGTGCATGTTAGGCAACTGCTGTGCCCTGGGGCTACATCTCCAACCCTTTTTATTTATTATTTAAAAATTTGAGACAGGGTCTTACTAAGTTGTCCAGGCTGACCTTGGACTTGTAGCTGGGAGTATGGGTGTGCACACCACTATGTCCAGTTAATAAAGTCTTTTCGGATCTTTATTTACCATACGTCATGATTATTTTCTTGTACTGTAAGTGCTCTTCTGCAACCTGATTTTTAATGCCTGAAAAACTCTTTCCTGTGAATTTATCTTCATTATTTAACTCATTCCTTGACAGCAGACTCTTTGATTCATCCTACCTTTTCACAATCTTAAACAGTGACACCGTGGGCCCCTTTCAGAGACACAGTTGCTACATCATGATGGTTTTCACAGAAGTGGAATCACGGCACCATCTTAATCCCTTTGGTGTTTCTCTGGATTGGGTCCCAGAGCTTCTAACCACTTCTGTTGCTCCAGCAGCATCTGAGATGCTCTTCGCTGCCCTTGGGTGTTGCAGGACTTGAACGACATGCCACGTAATGACCTAGAGGTGCTTGATGCTCATCGTCCCTACCTCTTGTTCCTTTTGTGGAGGATGTCATCTGCAGTGACCGGTTGTGATACTGTTGTTTGCTGGGTAGACCCTTGTCTTGGAGCGAGGGTAGTATTTTGAGGAACACACATCAGTGGTGTGGACATCACCAAGTGAGTTGGTCCTCCACTGAGAGCTTTGACCAGTGCACAGAATTTACTCCAAACAATCTGCTGGGTGCAGGAGGGAACCACAGGGGTGGCTTGGGGTGAAGACCAGTTTTGCCCCCCAGGAGGACATGTAAGGACATGAGCTGCCCGGCTGTCAGTCACCCTCACGGGTGCCGTTAGATATCTCTTATCTGAAACGCTCACAGAAGCCTGCACTTTGCCTGCTCGGTGTTTTGGGGGGGGGCACCCAGGACCCCAAGGAAACACAACGCTCCACGAACCAGAAGACTTGCCTCTGGCTGATCGTTTCCACTGTCGCCATGTTAATTCATCGGGTCAGGGTGCTCTGCTGTCAGGTGCTGTACTCTAAAGCCTGGAGGGTCTTTGTGAGTCCTCTGTGCCATTGATTTCATGGATGGCCACACTCCCTTAGCAGCAGGTGCTGTGTCCCCACGTCACATTAGCACTGGAGGGAGAGTCCTCAGTCCTTGGGGCACATCATAGCCATGTTCGATGCCCTCATCTCTCCTCTGTTCTAACGTGGAATGTGTATGGCTCACGTTCTTAGCACATTTTCACATCTACCATCTCAGCTGGGAAAATGGAAAATAGCAATAGTGAGGTAGGGGGTCTTAATATCTGCTGGTGAAAACATGAATAAAGAGTTCGGAAAAGTTCAGTGCTGTGTCCAAGGTCAGGGAGCTAGAGGAATAGAGCTTGGACTGACAGCAAGAGCTTTAGAGATGATTCCGAGATTCTGCCCTCCCTTTCCCAGGGACAGACCCATCACTACCCCTGTAGAGCCTTTCAGTGAGAAATGAGTCTCCTGTGTTCCACGCGCGGGATAAAGTGATTGAATCGTCTCTGGTAGCCATTAAACCTTTATAGAGAGAAGCCCTGTGAACCGTGGAGGGAATGCCGCATGGCGTCTTAGTCTGTCTGTCAAGCAGGTCAAGTGTGAAGAAGAGAGGTCCACCTGGTCGCGTTCTGGAGGTTGGGAAATCTGAGAGCGAGGCGCAGCACCTGGCGGGGCCTTCTTGCTGTGTTGAAACGCTGTGGAGGGCGTCACGTGGCGAGGCCGTGTGCTAGCGTGGGTTTCTCTTCGCCTACTGATAAAGCCGAGGTCAGGGATGCCACCGTAGGGGTCACCTCATGACTTTGTTCAATTCTGATCATCTTCTGAAGACCTCACCTCCAAGTACCATCAAGCTGTGCATTTGGGAATTGCATTTCCAACCCATGAACTTTGGAGGGACACATTCAAGCCACAGCGTGCAGTTTGGGCCACTGTGGAGCAGAGGGTCTGCAGGGGGATTTGTGGCTCTCCACCACCTGTGCTGAGCTGGGGAAGCTGGGCCTGGGGATGGACACCAAGAGGAAGTCCTTGTCCTGCTGCCGCTGTGCCTCCTTCCAGGGCTGATGGAGAACAGCTTTGCAAGGGCCAGAAGCTGGGTGGCTTGGCACTAAAAGCTCCTGGAGGCCTTGACGGAAGTGAGGCCGTGTGCAGCCCTTCCTGCTCCTGTCCCAGGTGGACAGCCCAGGGTGCACTCCAGGCCGGGTCCAAGGCTGTGCCTAGCTGTATCTGTCTACCATCTATCTTTTCTCTCTCTATCTCTTTCTATTATCTATCTCTCTATAGTTTATCTTTACACACACATATGTACATACATGTGTACATACATACATGTGTGTGTTTAAAACATTCTTTATGTGTTAACTACATATGTGTCCCTCTGTATATCTACTGATTATAAAACCCTGGGAGCAACATGGATACCACCCAGAGCAGGGTGGTTGAATGTCATGGGTATGTTGTATTATGGTTAAATCTGCAGATGGTTGTCAGGTTGAATGAAGTGGTCCCCGTGCAGCGCCTAGCATGGTGGGGGCACTCAGCTGGAGCTCAGTAATTAGTAGACACAGTCTTGTGCAAATGCCTTTCAGTGGTGGTAGCTCACCTGAGCCAAGTTTGAGATCTGCGAATGCCTGCTGATTTGAATGCCATGTGAACTGTTTCAAATTAAAGATAGTACAAGGTGAGTTTTTGCAGTGTCCCCAAGTCCAGGGTTTCCCTGAGGTACCTTGTCTCATTTTGTGACACAGTAATACAGAGTAGAAGTACCAAACTTCTGAAAATTATTCTTTCAAGAAATTTGCTTTGGTCAAATCTATTAATGGGAAACTTGAAGAAGCTTCCCTCCCAAGAGAACATGATTAGAATTAGGACATTAGTTGGAATACTATAATATGTGCTTAATGCAACCACAGAAATGGCTCATTAATGTGTGTGAAATGACATTTCATTGCTCGGAGGGATGGGG